AAATGTAAAATATACAGGGTCACTGAAAGGTATATGAACACTATAGTCACACTTCATTGCATTAGAAGTGTTGACACACTAGACATTTAACACTCACACATACATTTCCTGTGGACTGCCACTAAAATGGCTGGTTGATGGTTTTTAACGTTTGACAATTAAGAAATTAAGACTAAATATTAGTATTGTAAAAATGATAAATATACTGTAAAATAAAATGTATATTATTTTTATTAAATACTTATTTTTTTTTATTTTACTAGTAATATTTTCTTTTCTTTTCATAACAATAATATATATTATTATTAATTATATTAATTAATTATTATTATGAATTATAATTACATAAAAAATAACAACAATAATAGTTTTTTTATGCTCATATTGATACATAATTTTTTTTTGCCAACTTGTGCATCCCCACAAAAAAACACAGCAAACCTTAAACTCTTAAAAAAAAAAAAAAAAAAAAAAAAAATTTTTTAAATTAAAATCACAATTTATATCTTTTCACTCATTTTGTGCCATTACAGCATTTGTTTATTTAATTTGTCTGTTTTGGGAGTTTTGGCCCCTGTGGATTAAACTGCAAACAAACAAAGATCTAATTAAAATTCCTAACATTTTTTTTCTGTAATCTCCTGTAACGATATTCTTGTGTAATTCTTCAGCATTGCTAATTAATGTGAATTCTAAAGATAATCTGGAGTTAGCGAATCAAGTGTTGCAGTGTTTGTGAATACTGAGCCGCTTTCACTGTTACTGCACGTCATCCAACACCAAAACCACCGAGGTCACGTGTGTGTGAGCACGATCTGAAACCTTGCAAATCAAGATCACAAACTGATCTGACATCAGCTGCTTTGGACTTTACGGGATGTGAAAGGAGCTGTAATCTAAAGTTTCCAGCTCCTGAATATTTCAGTGCAGCGCTCGGGTTCCTGATGGCTGTGATGGACGTTACACAGACAGGGTTGTTGTGTTGAGTGATGCGGTCTTTGTTCATGTCCTGTCTTCAACATGGTCCTGTAGGGTTGATGTTGTTCATGTCCTGTCCTCAACATGGTCCTGTAGGGTCGATGTTGTTCTTGTCCTGTCCTCAACATGGTCCTGTAGGGTCGATGTTGTTCATGTCCTGTCCTCAACATGGTCCTGTAGGGTCGATGTTGTTCATGTCCTGTAGGGATGCACGATGATATCGGGACAACATCGGTATCGGCCGATAAAAGCTTAAAATGACCATCATCGGCATCGGCCGATATGAATATTTCTGCCGATAAGTCTTGCCGATAGGGTGGCGTGTTTCCTATGCGCACGTGACGCGAACGAAGCATGAGCGCCAGCAACTTAAACTTCCAACTAGGGGTGTGCGTCTCACGGTTTTTGATCGTGGACGATTAAAATGTCTCCACGATCTGCTTTTGAAGAAAAATCATAGTATCGTGCATTCTATCAGTTCAATTCTGGCGCCTTCATCTCAACATACTGTACAACGCGACGTACATTCACATCACATCACATGTAAACGCAGAGGTAGAGTTACACTCACGGGACACCGCAATTCACAAAAGTTCATTATTTGCATGTGCGTCAACGTCTTGCTAGGTAAACATGTCATTCACGTGCTGATGCGCTGTTCTAACATCCGCTTTTCTGAGCGCGTTACACCCGACGCTCACAGGAACTAAAAGCCTGTCACAGCGCCTGCATACTGGACTAATCTTTCGAGTCTTATTGCGCTAATACTGTCAAATACACACACGGTTTACATAAACAAAGTTGGTTATGTCTAAAGTGAAAGCAAACAGAGAAAATCTGCTTGTCAAATGCGTGTATATTAGACGCGTCGCGTGCAGTTCTTAAATAGACAGTATAATATGCTGCCGCTTGTCCTAAAGAGATACTGCACCCAGAAATAAAAATTCTGTCATTATTTACTCACTCTAATGTTGTTCCAAACCTGTATTCATGTCTTTCTTGTGCTTAAATATACTATGGAAGTCACTGAAGTACAGCAACTGTTTGGTTAGCCACATTCTTCCAAATAACTTTTATAATTTCAACAGAAGAAAGAAACTTGAGAGAGTAAATGATGACAATTTAAATTTTGGGGAGAACAATCTCGTTAATGTTAATAAAACAACAAAACACAAAGAGGAAATCACTCACTGCTCTTGACTGAGAACTTTAATAGAAGCTTTAATAAGCTTTTTTTGCACTTAAAAAAAACACACAAATATATCGGTATCGGCATCGGGCAAAATTAGTCTGAAAATATCGGCATATCGAATATCGGCCAAAATCCTATATCGTGCATCCCTAATGTCCTGTCCTCATCATGGTCCTGTAGGGTCGATGTTGTTCATGTCCTGTCTTCAACATGGTCCTGTAGGGTTGATGTTGTTCATGTCCTGTCCTCAACATGGTCCTGTAGGGTCGATGTTGTTCATGTCCTGTCTTCATCATGGTCCTGTAGGGTTGATGTTGTTCTTGTCCTGTCCTCAACATGGTCCATGTCCTGTCCTCAACATGGTCCTGTAGGGTCGATGTTGTTCTTGTCCTGTCTTTATCATGGTCCTGTAGGGTCGATGTTGTTCTTGTACTGTCCTCAACATGGTCCTGTAGGGTTGATGTTGTTCTTGTCCTGTCCTCAACATGGTCCTGTAGGGTCGATGTTGTTCTTGTCCTGTCTTCATCATGGTCCTGTAGGGTTGATGTTGTTCTTGTCCTGTCCTCAACATGGTCCTGTAGGGTTGATGTTGTTCTTGTCCTGTCTTTATCATGGTCCTGTAGGGTTGATGTTGTTCTTGTCCTGTCCTCAACATGGTCCTGTAGGGTCGATGTTGTTCATGTCCTGTCTTCATCATGG